TAATCCAGTTGGTACTATCTTTAATTTTTTTTCGATGAAACCTAAATATGTATCTCTGTATTCCTATTGAAGAATCTTCCTATTCTACTCTATTTAAATAGAATTTCTTAAAAACATTTGGCACTGCTGGATCTCGAAATATAATAATATATAATAGTAAAAACGTGAATATAATATTGATACTGAATAAGAAAAATAAGAAATATTAGAGTAAAAATATCAAGCCTGTATATATATATATATACTACTGTGATAAAAAAGTAAGGTGAATTTTTAATTTAAACTTCCCGCGCTAATCGATTCGAGCAAACTTTTTTATTTTTATGTTGGTACTACTGTTAGTGACATCTGTGGCAAATTTCATGTCAATGTCATCATTAGTCATATAGTTACGCTTGTGTTTTCTAAACGACTAAAAGTGATTTTGGCGATTTTTACAATGTCTGATTTTGCTGAGCAAAGAAGTGCCATTAAATTTTGTTTGCGGAATGAAATTTCGGCTGCGGAAACGTTCAGAATGTTGCAGAGGGCCTTCGGAGAATCGACTATGTCGCAGAAAAATGTTTATAAGTGGTACAAAGACTTCAAAGAAGGCAGAGAACGTACTGATGACTTGGAACGCCCCGGACGACTATCAACGTCAATTGATGAGCAACACGTGAAGAAAATCAAGGAATTGGTGCTCGAAAATCGTCGATTGACAATTAGAGACCTTGTCGATATGGTTGGCATTTCATTTGGTTCAGTTCAAACAATTTTGAAGGATCACTTGGGCCTTAGAAAAGTAAAATCTCGTTTGGTGCCAAAAACACTCAATTTCTTCGAAAAAGAGCGTCGCGTTAAAGTTTGTAAAGAGATGATTTGTGACTATCAGGACGTCTACGAACGCATTATTACGGGAGATGAGACTTGGATCTATGCTTATGATCCGGAAACAACCGACCAATCGAGTGAATATCGTGCTAAAGGCGAGGCAAGACCAAAACAATCGCGCCAAAGTCGTTCAAAAATCAAGGTTATGCTGACAGTTTTCTTCGACTATCGTGGTGTTGTGCATTATGAGTTCCTTCCGCCGGGCCAAACTGTCAACAAGAAATATTATTTGAGTGTTATGCGTCGTTTGCGTGAAGCTATTCGCAAGAAGAGGCCGGATTTATGGAAAGACAATTCCTGGTTTTTGCATCACGATAATGCGCCGTCTCACACGGCATTGATTCTTCGTGAGTTTTTCGCCAAAAATTCCACTCATATCGTTCCGCAACCGCCTTATTCACCTGACTTAGCTCCGTGTGACTTTTGGCTATTTCCCAAACTCAAAAGACCGCTCCGGGGACACCGCTTTGAATCTATTGAAGAGATTCAACGTGAATCGCTGCGCGCTTTGAAGGCTATACCGGGAAACTACTTTTTGGCATGCTTCGAGGCATGGAAAAAACGTTGGCATAAGTGCATTGTATCGGAGGGGGATTACTTTGAAGGGGATCAAATTGATTTGGATGAATAAATAAAGATTTTTTATTTTATAACAAAATTCACCTTACTTTTTTATCACAGTAGTATATGTGAGCGACTTATACAATCGTGCAAATTAGAATTATGTATCGAAGTTTCGATTTCTTGCGTTGTAAGTTATAAAAATTATAAAAACAGTTAGATTTAAATCTAATAAATGTAGAATTTTTTGATAAATATCCGCTATTATTAAATGTAATACATATATTGGGGACTTGTCTGGTATCGCGAAAATACGGATAACGGAAGTCGTGAATATCAAGAGTGATAAAGTCGTGAAAACGAAGAGTGATAAAGTCGTGAAAACGAAGAGTGATAAAGTCGTGAAAATGAAGAGTGATAAAGTCGGGCAATCGTATCTCTGCACGCGACACCAAAGTTACCAAAACGTGAAAATAAAAGTCGTTTAAGTCGCGTTTAGGTGGTCAAATTGCTCGAGTCGTCGAGTATTCGAACTGTCAAGTTGTTTAAGTCGCTCAGTCGTTCAAGTCGTTACAGTCGTATAAATCGTTCAAGCCAATCACGTTATTCGCATCATGGAAACCGCCATATTGCCAGTCTACACGCCCCGGTCACGAGTGTCGATTACGTCGCAGGGCAACAAGGAATCAAAGATTTAGAAACATCGAAGAAGATAGCTTACAGTCGTTAAACTGGAAGCTGAGACGCTAACCGATCGAGATAGCAGTCGATGAATAAAGATGAACAAAGATGATTAGACAAAATGAAACGGAAAGAAGGCGCGAAAAGCACTGGAGGTGGCGCGAGATGCGTGACTTCCACGCCAGTAAAGAAGATCACTATAGAAGAGCTCAAAAAGCAGTTGCGTAAGTTGAAATTATCGACCATAGGAAATAAGGTGGATTTACAACAACGGTTGAAAAACTACGAGCAGACGTGCGAAGAAAGCGACGTCGATAGCGATACCAAGGCCGATATGATTATCCAGAATACCGAAGCACAAGATTCAGACGATGAGAAAGAAGACGATCAAGAGGAATCAGACGAAGATGAGGAACCGATTAGAACATGTAAAAAGTGGGAGAGACAAAGCACGAACAACACACGAAGACGATCAGCTAGAGATGACCAGACACTACCACAAAGAACAGCAAATGTGATCACGATAAGGGATATTGAAGGAAGTGTTAGTCATTTCTCGGGAGATGATTAGATGAAAGTTGAATGGTGGATAGACGAATTCGAGGACACGAGTGAACTGCTGCATAATCTACAAAAAATCGTCTACGCGAAAAAGCTGCTGCGAGGCTTAGCAAAACAGTTTATGTCGCTACAGAAAGAAATAATTATCTGGAGATTGATGAAGAAGCAGCTGTTAAGTGAATTCGAAAGCATAACAGCAGTGCTATAGTATATGCACTGTTATGCTGATTAAGCGAAAAAGACAGTCAAATGAGATACTCCGACAATATATGTACGCGATGCAGACGATAGCGAGTCAGGGCGACATAGAGGAAGAAGCACTTATTCAATATATTATCGATGGAATATCTGACGAGGAGAGAATAATAAAAGTATTTTCTATGGAGCAACAATCCTGACACAGTTGAGGAAAAATTTGAAACACTTTGATCTAATGAAGGAGAAGTCGGACAAGAAATCTCGAAAGAAGCGACCTAAGGTTCTAAAGGGAAGACTAAAGGGAAAAACGCAGATAAGAGTGAAAAGAAAGCTAATCAAAATGGAAGGAGACTAGTTGCTTTAGCTGTGGATCCAGTGAGCATGTAGCACGTGATTGTCCACATAAAGACGAAGGACCGAAATGCTTTAAATGCAATCAGTTTGGATACATTGCAGCGAAATTGACAACTCCAGTGAGATAACGAAGAAAGACCGGAAGGTGAACGTGATAAGTGTGAGCGTAATATGA